GTGCGCGAGCCCCGTGCGCCCCTCACCGAGCGGCGCGACGCCGGGAGGTCTGCGGGCTGCGCGCGCACCGCCGTCAGGCGCTGGTTGCTTCCACGTGGCGCCGGCCTGAGCGCCTGAAACTCGGGAAAGGCGCGTCAGAGGCAACTGGGCAACGCAGAGAGGAGCCAGAGCAGAGCGCGTGGGGGAGGGCTCTGTCCCGTCACACTGCGTTCTCACGGCGGGGGAGGGGGGGCAAAGGGTTAGTTACTGGTGCCTGCAAAGGAAGTGCGTGGAAACTTCTCTGCATAGATGGAATTGCGCCCGAGGGATGAATTCGACTGCAGTTGGAGGGGAAGGGAAAGGTTAGGCAGAAGAGCCTTCCTGGGCATAGACGTGCAAAACGCACTGCTCTGCGTGTGTGTGCGTGTGCGCGCACTAAGGCACATAGCGGTGTGTTTGTTACGGAAATGACAGGCCAGCCAAGAAACAAGCACCACTCGGAGGGTTGGAGTACTCAGATTTATTACGCCGGCGGGCTCAGAGGGGCTTCTGCTCCGAAGCTCTGAGCACCTCCAAGACGTGTACATGAGGTTTTATAGGGTTAATTACAAGTATGGGGCTATTAGCCAATAAGGCTCAAACAACAAAAAGCAAGGAATCAGTACACTGGAGCTTATCAATTTGGAACAGATCACGTTACTGACACTTGTTGAGCTTGGATTTACAAGTTAGCTTGTTAGCCCAGTAAACTGACACTAAACTTCAGATTTATGAGTTAGCCCAGCAGAACTCAGATCAGTAATCCGACACTTGTTATACTTAGATTTGTGACTTAGCTTGTTAGCCCAGCTGGGCTTTTCCTTCACATGTTAAAGTATTGTAACCTGGTTCTCTCAAATGATGGGAGGGGAGAGGATATACTCGCAAAGGTGTGGGTCAGACCATTTGCTCAAACATACTCCTTATCACTTACTGACCGCAGCATCACATGGACTGGCGGTTTTACTGTTCATGGAAAAAACGCTAGGCAAGAGTTATGGGCTCGTTACTTCTAAGTATATCTATTTCATGTGCACAAAAGGGAAAAGGAAAGATAAGACAACTTAATAAATTGATAGTGTTCCCTCCAAATATGCATTGGGCACTCCAGAAATAGACGGAAGACCTGTTTAGTGGGAAATCCATGGCATTGAGAAGAAAAGATACGTTGCCTGCACAGAATGCTTAATGTTGGATGCTGACTTAGCTAAAGTACCCAGCAGTGGGGAAAGGATTTTTTTATTTTCTGTAAGCTGGAAGAATGTTCTATCTACTTGTTTCTTGTCTTATATCAAGCAGAGGAGATTTTTTTTTTGGCGGGGGGAGGTCATTAGGTTTACTTACTTATTTTTGGAGGAGGCGTTGGGGATTGAACCCAGGACCTCGTGCCTGCTAAGCATGTGCTCTAGCATTGAGCGACACCCTCCCCTTCCCAAGCAGATGTGACCCTGTAACACTTCTGAGGGAGGGAGCTCAGATATCCCTCCTAACGGTGGGTTTTCCCAAATCTCCAGAGTCCCCTCCTCTCAGTAACCACGGGTTCTTCATCTCTTACAAGTGTCTGTTTTGGGGTCAGTATCCCTCAGAATTCTGGGAGCACGCTGAGAACAGGAATGACATCTCAGCCTTTGCAATCGCAGTGTCAGTCACAAATCCTGCACCTAGGAGGGGTTCCGAACTGTCCGGGAGCTGTCTGGGCACCAGTGTCACCTGTGGGTCACCTGCCCAAGTCCCAGGACACTTCCACGAAAAGTTTTCACTTTAAAATTTCCTCTAAATCCACAGAGGTTAGGTCAGTCCCTCAAGGTCCACCTCTTGGATTTAAACTGGCCCTTCTGCATACAGTTGCCTATAAAAACAGAGTTCTCCTGGCAGCTCAGAGAACACAGCAATGGAGACATGCGGAGAGGCAAGTAAGAACTCATTGCTCAGGACCAAAGGCAACGTCTTCCAAACCTTTCTGAGTCCCTTAAATTCACGAGCCAACTCTTCGAGTCACTGCCATCCTCCTTTATGTCCCAGGGCAGAAGCTGACTATCTCTGGCCCCAGAATCTCCCTTAGAAAGAAGCAGCAGGACCTGTCTCACTTTAGCTGGGAGGTAAGGAAGCAAGGTCACTTGATCTGGGAAAGAAAAAAGGGAACAGCCGAGCGAAGCCCGCCCTCCTGTAAGACGCCTTGGGGTGCAAGACACCGTGTGGGCGTCACAGAGATGATCTCGGATGTGATCCCCGTGATGGTGAGAAGATGTCAGGGCTGTGATGTCAACACTGGGGACAAAGCCAGGAGGCCCGGAGGTCAGAGCCTCTAAGCCGGAGAGGGCCCAGGCTACGACCAGGTTCTTCTCTTAGCCTGGATGGCGGTGTTCTTACCGAGGTTCACACAGTTGATGCAGTAGTTCCGTATTAGCACTGAAGACCACGCACGTGGCAGAGAACATGGGAGAAAACATTTAAGGGGCTCGCATAAAGCAAGGGTAAGTGCTTTCTGTTAAATTTCTGGGTTTGTGCGGCGTGTGTGTGTATATGTGTGATTGTGACTGGGTCACAGTGCGAAATGCATTTCACTGTGGGCCCTGGTCACAATGCCTGAGGGCCACAACACTAAATTGCTCTGCATCTAAATTCCCACAGACGTAGAATGCAGGTGATAAGTGAAAGCTATCATCACACAGTATCTTTTTTATTCCTGATGGAAACATTACACTTTAAGTCATAGGTGACTCAGGCTTAAAGCGATTAAGGGTCTCACAGTTACAGAGGGAGCAAGCTGCGGGCCACAAACGTCCCTGTGTGGGCAAAACCCAAGTCCACCCCAGCTAAGCACATGTCAGGATCTCGGTGCAATTCGGGCGTGTGAGTGTCTGTGGGATGGGCTCCAAATGTTTGAACCATCCCCAAAGAGTCCAGCACCTTTTTAGATACACTCACTAGTTTTCCAGCAGGTTGATCAGGGACATTCTAGGGCATCTGAACTTATCAGAGAGCAAGACAACCCGAAGGAGCCTTCACGCGCCCCTTGAACATTCTCAGCGTGTCCAAACCAAGGACGGAGCCATCTGCAAAATGAGGTGCTGTGCCAACAAACCAAGATGAACGTCTCCACCAAGAACATATCTACCTTCTTGGGCTAAACTGCGACCCTGTAATTATAAAGTAACATTAACAGTAACAACTAATTGACTACATTCCTATTGTTTAGTATTTTTCCACCTGCTACTTGAGGGGGGCTGTCTTAACGAGCTCGTCCCCCTCCGCCTAGATGAGCAGACGTGAAAAGATGTTGATTCTTCCTTCCTTTGGACGTGTTGAGCATTATCAAGGGGCACTTTTTACTAAAACTTACGAGGAAGACGGCATTAAAGTATGGGAGAGAACATACCAGTCCAGACTCCCAGCAGCAGCATATGAAAGTTCTCACTGTTAAATTTAATATTTTCAAAGGTTTGTATTTGTGCGAACGGCACAGGTGAGCAGTGGTAGCTAATTCTGGTTTTAATTTCCACTTCCTCGGTTCCTGATGAGATGACCATGTTTTTTGTGTTTTGAGAGATTACTATTCTTTGGTGAGGTGTACATTTCAGACCTTTTGCCCATTTTTCTACTAAAAACCCCAACTTTGTATATTAATTGACCAATTTCTTCGTATAGCCCACATAGGGACCCCTCCTCACTTATACATATTGCAAGTATAATTTTTTCTAGTTTGTGGTGATCAGAACTTTTTGACAATTAGAATTTTTAAATTTTAAAGTGGGAAAGTTTTAAATGCTTTCTTTTTTATTGAAGCATAATCAGTTACAATGTGTCTGTTTCTGGTGTGCAGCACAATGTCCCAGTCATACAGATACATCCATATATTCATTTTCATATTCTTTTTCATTAAAGGCTATTACAAGATATTGAATACAAGATATTGAATACAGTTCCCTGTGCTGTACAGAAGAAACTTGTTTTTTTAAATGCTTTTCCTTTATTCCTATTGTGTCCCATACCCCCCAGTATCAAAAGGGGAAAATTCTCAGAGATTTGCACATACATGTTTTTAGCTCACTCGACATTGATTTTGTGTGTGTGTGCACATGTGCTGTGATGCAGGGTGTCAATCTCTTCGTATGTCTCTACACAGGTATCTAATTATTCAAGAACCATTTTTTGCAAAGTCCATCCCCCCTTTCCCCTCACTTATCTTCGATACAAGTCGTGTCATAAATCAAGTTTGCATGTACGTTTGGTTTTATTCCATTCCATCTTTCTGATCGTTTATCCTTGAAACTCAGTTTCCACTGGGAATGCTGACAGAGAGACCGGAACACCAGGAGAGACTCAGAAGTACCGGGGGTGGTGGGGAGACACATCGACAAGGCAGCGGCTTTTGCTCGCACGGATGGAAGGAAACTGACTGCCTCCCCTTCCTCTTGCTTCCCCATCCTTCAGCCACACTGGCTCTTATTTCCCTTGAAGAGGCTGACCTCCTCCCTGACCCAGGTTTTTTTGCACTTCCTTTTTCTTGTTCCTCTTAGAATGCTCTTCCATCAGCTCAACGTTCACCTATTTTTTTCTCGTGAGTCAAAAATAAACTCAGACGTTGCGATTCCCAGAGAAGCTTTCTCTGACCGCCCATTCTACAACAGCCTCCTTCAGACACTGCCCACCGTCCTGTTTTGCTTTCTCCTTAGCGCTTACCCGCTGAAGTTCTGTGTTTGTCTTTTGTTTGCCTTCTCTGCCCCTCATTGCTTAGAATATAAATTCAAAAGCTCATGGGCATTCGTTTTGCTCATTAGCTGATTTCAGACACCTTGTATATAGTAAATACTCAATAAATATTTACTGTTTAACACATATGATAAGAGATAAGTCAGAAATAAGCCCAAATATCATCTCAGTCACCTAACACTCGAGCTGAATCCCCAATACTAATGGCAGAGGCAGAGGACCCCTACTTCTGTACCTGCAGCCTTTCGGGACAAGTCACTTCCTGCCTGCAAGCTTGGTACAGTCATGTGTACAAGCGGGTAACATAATGCCTCCTTTGTAGGGTCATGAAAATTAACTGATCAAAAGTGCAACACACACAACACAGCACAGGGCGGGGGCACGTAAGTGATGGTCAACGTACGTAGTTTGTTCCCTTAAAAAAAAGACATGTTCTCTTTCTGGAAGAAGTTGTCTTTCAAAATATACAGGGAAGAAATTCCTCACTTTTTTTTTTTTAGAGAAACCATTACTTCTGGTCCTTCTCTCTCACAAAGAGCGGCAAATTCCCTCCAGACATTCAACCCAATTAAGAGAGCGATTGGTCTCAGAATAAGGGACTTGTGAGTCTTCCTTTATTTAAAATAGCACAGATGAGTTCTGGGATCCTGCGAACTAGAGAGAGGGAGAGGGAGAGAGAGAAAGAAAAGGAAAAGAAAAGAGAAATCCAGTGCAGAAAATGCTGCTTAAAGCCATCAAAAGTAAAGGAATAACCATGCTCTGCTTTACAAAGCACTTTCTCATCTACTGCCGTATTCAGTATTGATAAGGACTAAGGACATGTCATCCTGGGGACAGATTTCATCTCCATTTTACAGGAAAGACAATGGAGGCTCATGAAGCTTGGGTGTCTGACCAATGACCACAGATGTAATAAGTACAGGGTTAAGGTTTCTGCTCCCTGTTTTGCAATTTCCCAGTTGTTCCTCCCTGGTGCTTCTGACAATAGTCAACCTATAGCAAAGTGACACTGGCTCTGCGGGCCCTAACCATGTACACTTTTCTCCTTTTCCCATTTGACTTCTGCATGGACCACAGTCTCTACAAACCTATTTCTTTCTTACTTAGATGGAGAGGCCCCTGGAGCGAGGCAACATGACCGGGGTCCAGCAGTTTGTCTTGCTGGGCTTGTCCACGAGGCCAGAAGTAAGGGACGTCCTGTTTGCCATCTTCCTGACCCTCTACCTGCTGACCCTCCTGGAGAACTCGCTCACCGTCCTCCTCGTCTGCAGGCACAGTGAGCTCCACAAGCCCATGTACTTCTTCCTGGGCAACCTGAGCTGCCTGGAGATGTGCTACGTGTCGGTGACCATGCCCAGCCTGCTCGCGGGGCTGCGGACTGGACCCTGCCGCGTGCCCTTCACAGCCTGCATGACCCAGCTCTTCCTCTTCATCTCCCTCATCTGCACGGAGTGCTCCCTCCTGGCGTCCATGGCCTACGACCGCTACGTGGCTGTCTGCCGCCCACTCCACTACCCGCTGCTCATGAGGCCCCAGGTCTGCCTGGGCTTGGCTGTGGCTTCATGGCTTGGTGGGCTGCTGGTCTCAGTGGTCAAAACAGCATGCATCGCCAGCCTGTCCTACTGTGGCCCCAACGTCCTCAACCACTTCTTCTGTGACGTCTCCCCTCTGCTCAGCCTGTCCTGCACCCACGTGGCCCTGACGGAGCTGGTGGACTTCATCTCTGCGATCGTCACCTTCTGCGGGACCCTGCTGGTGGCTCTGGCCTTGTATGCGGCCATCGGGAGGGCTGTGCTCCGCACGCCTTCCCTGGCTGCCCGCTGCAAAGCTCTGTCCACCTGCGCCTCCCTGGTTGTGGTCGGCATCTTTTACTCAGCGGTCCTCTCCATGTATTCCCGCCCCAGCCTTGCTGAATCCACTGACCTCAACAAGCTGCTGTCCGTCATCTACATGGTGGCCACACCCGTGTGCAGCCCCATCGTCTACGGCCTGCGGAACAGGCAGGTCCACGCGGCGCTGCGGAGAACCCTCCACCTGCGCAGAGTCTCTCCAGCGAGGACTGCCCTTTTCTGCTCCTGATTTTAAAACTTTTACGGCCAAGACACACACACAACTTTCAAATTAGATAGAAACCTGGAGGAAAATATTTGCAGCATAATGTATAAAGAAGTTTTTAAATAAAGGAGAAAAAATATGAGTACCCCAAGAGAAAAACAAAAGGAAAGTGGCCATGAGCAGGAAGCTTACTGACAGAAAAATACAAGTGGCTGATAACCTACAAAAAGACGTGCTAGTCATCCAAGAAACGGAAATTTACTCCTTGCCTACTGAGAAAAAATATGTCATACAAAATAAAAGCACAAGAATTTTTACAGCAACATTGTGAAATTTGGAATGAATGTTATTTTATCAGAAATTTTTGCAAATAACTCAAATGTCGACAAACATGAAATCATTTAAATACATTACATTATATACATAGAGTGAAGTAACATGCATTCCTTAAAGAGATTAACTGCAGCCCTGCAGATACTGTCATGGGGAGATGGTATGTTGTTGAGTTAAAAACGAAACAAACATAAAATACAAACTTGTGGTTGCCAAGGGGGCGGGGGTGGGAAAGGAGAGACTGGGATTTCAAAATGCAGACTAGATAAAGAAGATTATACTGTACGGCCCAGGGAAATATATACAAGATCTTGTGGTAGCTCACAGCGAAAAAAAATGTGACAATGAATGTATATGTATGTTCATGTATAATTGAAAAATTGTGCTCTACACCGGAATTTGACATACATTGTAAATTGACTATAACTCAATAAAAAATGTTTTAAAAAATGAACAAGCAGTATACGAGTATGTCAGAGATTTGTAAAACAATGATAATATATTAGTGGCAGTAGTTATTTATGTAAATATATAGCTAGAAAGGAATCTGAACAGACACATGTCAGAGAGTTACTGGCGGTGTTTTCAGGCATGAAACCCCAGGGGACCCATATTTTCTATTTTATGTATTTGAATATTTTGCAATCAGCTTGTATTACCTTTATAATCGAATAAATAAGCGTATTATAAAAGAAAACAAGAAATTCAAAGCGTGGCCTTCTGTGGAATGACTTACTCATCATATCAGAGTATTTTTCATCTTTATCTTAAGTAATAAGCATTTGTGTTGACAGCGCCTCAAGGGACGCAAGCGAGTTTCTGTGTGGTTTGTGAGAGGAAATGTTTTAAGAAGGGCAACTTGTTAATACAGACAACAGCCCTGGGAAGCTGAATGGCCCTGCGTTCATCTAGTTTACTTTCGGAATTTATCCTGGAGAAGAAAGCGAAAGACATGGGCAAAAGCTGACCCACATAGGTACTCATTCCAACTGTTTGCACAAAGACAAATAACCTGGTAGTTAATCCAAAAAAAGGTAACAGAAATACACAATAAATGTATGGAATGGTGTTCAACTGTCACACTATTTTTTGAGGGGAGAGGTAATTATGTTTTATTTGTTTTTAATATTTAATTAATTTATTTGGGGAGGTAATTAGGTTTATTTATTTACTTATTTATTTTAATGAAGGAAGTGGAGATTGAACCCAGGGCCTCATGCACTCTACCACTGAGCTGTGCCTTCCCCACAGCTTCCACCCCTATTAAAGACATGAAACTCAAAGCAATTAGATGCACTTACGCACAGCACATTTAAAAAAAAATCCTTTGAGAAAACCTCATGTTGGCTAGACGTGGGGGAAGTGCAAGCTCTAAGACTGCTGTGGGGATGTAGGTGGAGGCAGTGTTTTTGGAAAACAGTTTGCTATTACTTATCAAATTTTAAATTCACATACACTTTGACCCAGCAATGACCACTGTATCTTCATGCTATAGATTCTGAGACAGCCTTTAACTCTTTTTCACTCTTGTTTACAGCCCCGCACCTTCCAGGCACATGTATGACTGCACGTTCTGAGCTCCTTGTGCACAGGTGGGGTCATGGGAGTGGAACTGGCCAACAAGGAGCTGAGTCACTTCCAGACCAAAGTATTTAGTTCCTGCTGTGAGGCCCTCCAGGTCTCTCCTCTCTGCCCAGCAGGGTGACTGGCCTCTGCTGCCCGGGTTCCTGACCATGGTTAGCAGAGCACCTTTAACATGGTCTTGACAATTCTCTACATGCATGTCTCACAGATACGCTGCTGAGGAACAGAAGCAGAATGCTAAGTATGATCTGGAAATGGGACAGCTTGATTCCAATTGTTTGAAAAAATATATAATGTCAGTTGATAGAACTTTCTCCCTCCCTTTTAGCTGTATGGAGACCACTTTGTAAATTTTATCTCATAAAATCAGCAGTCAGCTTGGGGTAGGTGCTGTTATTATCTGCAGTGAGAGGTGAGGATGCTGAAGCACAGAGAGGTACAGTAAGTTGCTCAGGGTCACACAGGAAGCAGCTCTAAGGTCACAACTTCCTCAAAAAACTAAAAATAGAGTTACCATATGATCCAGCAATCCCACTCCTGAGCATATATCCAGAAGGAACTCTAATTTGAAAAGATACATGCACCCCAATGTTCATAGCAGCTCTATATGCAATAGCCAAGACAAGGAAGCAACCTAAGTGTCCATCAACAGATGACTGGATAAAGAAGCTGTGGTATACTTACACAACGGAATACTACTCAGCCATAAAAAAGAATAAAATAATGCCATTTTCAACAACATGGATGGACCTGGAGGTTGTCATTCTAAGTAAAGCAAACCAAAAAGAGAAAGAAAAATACCATATATCACTTATATCTGGAATCTAAAAAAAAAGACAAATGAACCTATTTACAAAACAGAAACAAACTCACAGACATAGAAAACAAACTTATGGTTACCGGGGGGAACGTGGTGGGAAGGGATAAATTGGGAGTTCGAGATTTGCAGATACTGACTAATATACATAAAATAGATAAACAACAAATTCGTACCGTACAGCACAAGGAACTATATTCGATATCTTGTAGTAACTTATGGTGAAAAAGAATATAAAAATGAACATGTGTATATTCATGTATGACCAAAGCATTATGCTGTACACCAGAAGTTGATACAATGTTGCAAACTGACTATACTTTAATAAAAAATATACACATATGTATGTATACATATATATAGCCAGTATGTCTGTATTCCAACCAGAAGATAAGAGGAACCAACGAAGTAGAGGAAATTCTCCTTGCCCTTAAAAGCATAAACAGAAACTTGCCGTTGGTCTTTGTCTAGCACATACTCATAGGAGCTCTTGTAGTGACAAGAAGGGAGAAGAGAAGCAGTATTTTTTCTGGGTGGCTATGTTTCCAGCTGAGATTTGGTAGATCTATTACTAAAGGAAGAACTGACGTCTGGAGCTAACTAACAATCTTTGTCCCACATACCTCCCTTAGAGGGTGGTTTTAAGGCTTAAAATGTGATCATCTATATAAAGAGCTCTGCGTGGAGTCTGGAAGTCAGCAAGTGTCTACAAGCAATATGCACTATTATAACCATAGATGAGTAAGACATTACCTTTCTGCAACAAATGACTCATTTATTTATTCAACCAAATTTAACTGCAGTGCCTAGTATGTAGCAGACATTGCTCTAGGCAAGGCCGATGAGGTCCGTGCCTCTGCAAAGCTCCCATTCCGGTCTGTATCCTCAGCTTGTGTGAACGAGACAGCTGCGGAACAGAAGGAGCACCGCATTGTGTGCAAATATCAGGCAATTAGAGGAGACTCGGTAAAGAAAGAAACTGGCAGCTGAGGCTGGAGGGCATTTGCATTCAAAGGGAGGACAAGGAAGGTCTTGGTAACTGGAAGATGGAGCAGCCCAGCAAAGACCCCAGAGGTCACAGAGCATGACTCATCTGGGTAACGCTGAGTCTAGTGTGGCTGAATCCAAAACAAGGGTTTGGGACCTTGAATTCCTGGTGAAGGAGATTCAGCCCTAACTCATGGACAAAATACGGAGTGATTTTTAAAGTGATTTTTTTCTAACATCGAGAATTTTTTTTTATTATGAAAGGAATCCATACTTGCCACAAAAAAATTTTTTTTTCAACAAAACACAACAGAGTGAAAATGAAAGCAAAGTCCTCCCCAGGTCTTCTACGATGGCAGTCGCCATTAGCGTTTCACAGTGTTTTCAAATTCTTTCCTCTATACATACACACATTGCATTAAAAAAATTAAACTGGGACTACACTATCCATGCTGTTTTATAACCTGAATTTTCCACACCACAGTATGTAACTGACATCTTTCATGGAAGTAAATACGCATATAAAATTCATTTGTCAAGGTGCTGTGGAACGCCATCGTGCGGCTCAGCCGCAGTTTGTTTTAACGACTCCTCTATTGTTGAAAAGCCAACAGCTCTCCATTAAAAGCAAAAAATGCTATAAATATTCTCACAGCTACATTGTCACAAGCATCCTAAATTATTTTCTTGGCAAAAAGACATCCTTAAAGCAATATGCCTTAAAGCGGTATGCCATGAACATTCAGGTTTTAATGCATATTGACAAATTGCCCTCCAGAAATATTGTACCGATTTCAGTTAATAAACTTCAAGATTACTAAAATTCACACAAAAAATTTCACTCTCCTTGAATTTTGAGGTGTGTATCCTCAAAAACATCTATACAAACACCTGTGACTATATCTAGAATTTCTGCCTTTATATTTATTTAAAATTTTACTCTAAGTTTAAATTTTTTACATAAAAATACATCAGGCCTCCATGTCAATATATAGAGATACAACTAATTTTAAAAAATAGCTTCATAAAGTTTCATAATATGGGGGTACCACAACTTATGCAGTCATTATTTTGTTGATGAATATTCACATTCTCTCCAGTTTGGGGCCACTTAAAACAATGCTACAATAATAAATTTTTATTATACATGTATTTTTACAGATCAGTGCTTAAATTTCCCTGTGAGATATCTGCAAAAGCGGAAATTTTGGCTCAAAGTGTAGGCACAGTTCAAATTTTAATATGTGATGCTAGGGTTGTTCTCCAAGAAGGATTTAACAGTTTACGCCACCACCAGCAACCACCACTTTTTTAAAGCTACCTCAGTTCTAGGTGTTAACAATCATTTGAATTTTTCCTGACTTGATATGGTGATGATACAACATTGTAACTTGCATTTTTCCTGAGTATGAAGATTTATTAGATTCATCAGTCGTTTGCAGCATCTCATCTGCAAATTGCCATTTACAGCTGCCTGACATATGTATATTTTTAAAGTAGGATATTGAATGCTTTGAAAACAGTTTGGCAGTTCTTTAAAAAGTTACATATAAATCCCACTCCTGGATATATATCTGGAGGGAGCTCTAAGTTGAAAAGACACATGAACCCCAATGTTCATAGCAGCACTATTTACAGTAGCCAAGACATGGAAACAACCTAAATGCCATCAACAGATGACTGGGTAAAGAAGGTGTGGTGTATTTATAAAATGGAATACTACTCAGCCATAAAAAAGAATGAAATAACGCCATTTGCAGCAACATGGATGGACCTAGAGATCGTCATTCTAAATGAAGTAAGCCAGAAAGAGAAAGAAAAATACCGTATGATATCACTCATATGTAGAATCTAAAAATAAAAGGAGACAAAGAGAATACTCATGAACTAATCTACAAAACAGAAATAGACTTGCAGACATAGTAAACAATCTTATGGTTACTGGGGGAAAGACAGTGCGAAGGGATAAATTTGGGAGTTTGAGATTTGCAAATGTTAGCCACTAATATGGCACTAGATTAAAAAAAACCAAATTTCTTCTGTACAGCACAGGGAACTATATTCAATATCTTGTAATAACCTTTAATGAAGAAGAATATGAAAATGAATATATGAATGTATATATGCATGACTGGGACATTGTGCTGCACACCAGAAACAGACACATTGTAACTGACCATACTTCAATTCTTTTTAAAAGTTACACATACAGTTACCATATGACCCAGCAAGTCCACCCCTAGGCATATACCCAAGAGAAAAGAAAGTATGTACCCACACAAAAAGCTGTGCACAAATATTCACAGCAGCATTACCCCTAATGGCTAAAAAGTGGAAACAACTCAGGTATCTATTAACTGGTGAAAGGACAAACTAAACACAGTGTATCCATATAACGGAATATTACCCAACCATAAAAAGGAAGGAAGTACTGCAGATGCTACAACCTGCATGAACCCTGAAAACATTATGCTAAGTGAAAGAAGCCACACAGAAGTCCACATATTATATGATTTCACTTATGTGAAATGTCCAAACAGCAGATTCACAGAGACAGAAAGAAGATTGGTGGTTTTTAGGGCAGAGAGGGGGCAGGAGATTGGGAATGGCTTCCAGTATGCACAGGTTTCTTTTAGTGGTGATGAAGATATTCTAGGATTAGATAATGGTGATGGTTGCACAACTCTGTGAACATACTAAATATCCACTGAACTGTATATTTTTAAAAGATGAAATCTATGGTATGTGAACTGTATCTTAACAAAAATACAAAGTATTGGTAACTTGAGATCTGCCCCATGCGCTTAGCTGGTCAGCCACAGGACCAGTGGAGGGTTCTTCGGAAAGCTGCCTGGACCTCCCTGTTCCGCAGGCAGTAGATGACAGGATTGCACATGGGCGTGGCCACCGTGTAGATGACGGACAGCACCTTGTTGAGGTCCATGGCTTCTATGCGGCTGGGACGGGCATAGATGAAGAGAGTGGCTGAGTAGAAGATGCCGACCACAACCAGGTGGGAGGTGCAGGTGGAGAAGGCTTTGCGCCGAGCAGCAGCTGATGGCATACGGAGCACGGCCCTACCAATGGCCATGTAGGAGGCTATGGCCACCAGGAGGGAACCCCAAAGGATGACGATGGCAGAGATGAAGTCCACCAGCTCCGTCAGGGCCACGTGGGTGCAGGACAGGTTGAGCAGAGGGGAGACGTCACAGAAGAAGTGGTTGAGGACGTTGGGGCCACAGTAGGACAGGCTGGCGATGCATGCTGTTTTGACCACTGAGACCAGCAGCCCACCAAGCCATGAAGCCACAGCCAAGCCCAGGCAGACCTGGGGCCTCATGAGCAGCGGGTAGTGGAGTGGGCGGCAGACAGCCACGTAGCGGTCGTAGGCCATGGATGCCAGGAGGGAGCACTCCGTGCAGATGAGGGAGATGAAGAGGAAGAGCTGGGTCATGCAGGCTGTGAAGGGCACGCGGCAGGGTCCAGTCCGCAGCCCCGCGAGCAGGCTGGGCGTGGTCACCGACATGTAGCACATCTCCAGGCAGCTCAGGTTGCCCAAGAAGAAGTACATGGGCTTGTGGAGCTCGCTGTGCCTGCAGACGAGGAGGACGATGAGCGTGTTCTCCAGGAGGGTCAGCAGGTAGAGGGTCAGGAAGACAGCAAACAGGACATCCCTTATGCCCAGCCTCGTGGACAAGCCCAGCAGGACAAATTCCTGGACTCTGGTCATGTTGCCCACGGCCAGGGACCTCTCCATCTAAGACAAGATACATCTGCAAAGTATTTCACAAATCTCTCTACATCTTGCCTCACCCCAGATCCAAGCCATCATCTCACTTGAGTAAATGAAACAATCTCTCATCTGGTCTCCCTGCTTCCTTCGCCTCTACAGTCCTTCTCCACGTAGCATCTAGTGGAGTCTTTGAAAATCAGAGGTCACATAGGGTCACGCTCCTGCTTACAATTCTTGACAGTTGCCCCATCATTCTTAGAATAAACATGTTCCTTATCATGGCCTTCAAGCCGCCCAATTTTCTGATCCTTGTCAGTTGCTGCAGGTTTAACTCACGTTCCTCTTCTCCCATTTACCCAAGTTCTGTGGGCCCCCTTTCACTTTCTCAAATGTTCCAAGGTTCCTGCAAGCCTTGGAGAATTCTCACAGGAAGTTCCTTCTCTCTGGAGCACCCTCTCCTCATCCTCACTTTGCCCATTTCTGGGAATCCTTGACATCCTTGGCATAAATTTGTCAATGCCTTACCTTCAGATAAGACTTCCTTGAAAGTCCTCTATGCAACCTGTGTCAGTTCTCGATCCTGCATCACAGAGTGACTGTTACTATTTTAAATTACTTGTGTGTTTGTTCAGGTATTCAAAGTCTCTCCATCCAGACTGTAAGCCTGGGGGTAGGAACTGGGCCTGTCTTACTCAGAACACGGTTCTCAGTACCTAGCAAAAGAACACGCTGCCTGGCACATTATAGTTACTCAATACATGTTTATTCAATGCATGGTCAATTAAAGTTGGATTTCCAGGCATCATACTTTTCAGCAGGTGCAGCAACAGTAGAGGATGTTGGCTGGGAGCACTGGGGCTCTACCTAGGTGAGCGTCTCTTCAATTTCTGATGATTGTTGATTAGAAAGGAAGTCAATACAGTATGGTTGGAAGAATACACACCTTGGGGTTAGAAATCCTGCCTTATATGCTTATTACAATCCTTAGCACATTGCTTGATTTATGCAAGCCTTAGGTCTTTTTTTCTCTGTGAAATGGGGAGGATGGTATTGGTTCCTGTGAGATGTTGTGGAGACTGCATAAGGAAATGAAAGGGGAAGCTCTACACAAAAGAGTTGTGACTTCTGATAAAACTGGATCAGTCCCTTTCTAAGGTGACATTTGAAAAACAACAACAACAATTCTACAGTGAACTTCGGTGGTTCACCTGGCTACCTCTGAGTGGAGGACAGCCCTTATCTCCTTATTCTGAGATTCCTCTGTTGATTTGATGACATTTATCAATAGAATTTACCACCATTTTTTTAGAGAAGAGTCAGCTATGGTAATTTTCTAGGGTAAAACAACGGAAGTGTGATTCCTGACTTCTTCTAGGGAAGGCTACCTGCAACCCCCAGTCAAATCTCTTGTTGTAAAGATGGAGATAACATTTATTGCATGTATCTATGTCCAGGTCGGGGCCTTTTAATAAAAGACTTTATTCATTTTTCAATACCAAGGAAAGTAGATGTCATTTTCCTCACTGGTAAAGAGGAAGAAACTGAGGTTCCCAGAGGCTACAAGGATGAAGTGAAAACACTGGGTTTTTCAGATAGGTTCTATCCGATTTTTACTACCCATCAGTGCAAATTATGGAGTTAGTACTGAATTTAACGCGGTTTACAGACAAAGATCTGCATTCTGGAGCCATAGTTACAGGGTTACTTCACTGTTCTGGGTTTCAATTCCCTTGATTACACATCTAACCTCAGAGACGGTTAAATGAAGCAATGAGGTTAATGTGCTTAATGCGCAACTGAGGTCTGTTCTCTTCAGTCCAAGAATGGTTGGCGCTGTCCTTAGTCCTGAAACGAGCACCTCACATCTGCCCAAGAACAGTCTCCCAACGGAAGGACCACGCTGTCCATGGTCCTGAATCGCCCCCCACCCCAGGCCCCTTTAGTATTGAATGGAGGCGTTCGCCTTAGTTCTACACAAGAACTCGTCAACTGCTCTCTTCCCTCGGTGGTTCCCTCTCCTCATTGGACTTTTCCTTCCATGATTCACTTTCATTCTGCTCCTTCTGTTCATAACTCCTGTCCCTGCCCCAGACCTAGTTCTGCTATGAGGCAAGTCTCCTGAGTCAAACCTCACAGCCAGTCACCTTAGGTGCCAAGAGGTGCTTTGTGCTTATCTCACATAAGAACCAGTCCATTTAACTTCAAGGGTCACTTTAGAATTCCTCATCCCAGAATCAGAGTGCCCAGTGCCTATTTGGGATTTTGTTTCATCTCATAAACATTTATCAAGCATCAACAATGCACTGTGCACTGTGCCAGGCACAGTTGGGATATAGAGATGAACAGATGGGTTGCCCACAGTTTTCTATCTAAATCTTTCTTACTGATTGAACTTGGACAAGTTACTTAACCTGTCCGACCCTTCAATCGCCTTTTCCGAAAAAGAGATGGACGTAATTATCTCCATCTCAAATTATGTAGTATCTCCACTATTAAATAAAAGTCAAATCTACTGGGTTCTGAATATTAAATCTTCAAAAAAAACCTGTGAGAATTTGAACAAGTCACATGTCCTTGTAGAACTTCAGTTTCCTTATACGAAAGTTGGGGATCACTTCAACACTTGCAGGATTCTCATGGGGTGCCCTGTGCAAATTTTCTGGCACATGGTAAACAATAAATGTTATCTACTATTATTAAATAGTATGATATCCAAAAATAAGTATCATTTTTATTACTAATAATCAATGACTAGTTATTTAATAATGATTATTAATTAACAATTTCAGTAGGTAACATTATTTCATTAATACAGGTTGTAACCATTCTGTGAGGGAAGAATTATGCTCTGCATTTCACAGAAGGGGAACTAAAGCTTGGAGAGGTGGAGAAACTTGACCAAGGTTACACAGATAGTTACAGGCAAATCTAGCAATCAAACCTGAGTGTCTCTCATTCTGAAGCTAGTGATCATTCCTCTAGACTTTGCTGCCTCTCTGTGTGAAACAAGTTGCACGTGTTTGAATCTTTACAGTGAAGCTTGGACCTGACCTCCAAACTGGATTTCAGTGCTAACATGTTAATAACATCGTTTCTAACAGAGAAGGGAGTCAGGAAGACAAAAGGTCAGTGTAGAAGTTTGATGAAGGAGTACTTATTTCTACAAGGAAGGACTGGGAAAACCTCATGTACGATTTGACATTTTACTGAGCCTTGGGGATTCATAGAATTCTGAAAGTTAGAAAATGGATAGAGTGGTGGGCAACCCAGGGAGAAGGAACTGCACCAGCAGAGACATAAACATGTAACCACACTTTGCTCAAAGTCATTCAGCTAGCTGGGAACTTCAGCCCAGATTTTCAGCTCCCAACCCTGCCAATCCTTTCTAATCACCCCAGAGAGACATCCTGGTTTAGAAGAAAGAATTTAAGCTTTAGGGTCACATGAACCTGAACCCCAGCTCCAAATCCTCCACTACTTATTTGTGTCAAATCAAGCATTTTTTCTTACTCTTGCTGACCTTCAATTTCCATCAGTAAAATAGGAACTGTATGTAAAACTGCATCATAGGATTCTTGAGAGGATTAATGGAGATTATACAGGAAAAATACTCAGCAAAGCACCTGATATAGAACAGACTGCTGCTAAGTGTCATTTCCTTTCTTCTTATCTTGATATTCCCTTCTCTCTCCCCCAACAGATGAACTCCACAGCCTCCTTACCTGAATAGTTCACGTAAGATGGGTCTATCAGAATAGATATGGTCTTCTTCCTTCCTTAGTGTCTCTGGTCAGTGACCAAATGGCCTGAGCATCCACTCAGGGATAGAATTTTTAGGAGTGGGGCCAGAGGGCTCAGTAGTCAGAAGATAAGGATGTCCCCTTGAATTCATGCCAACCTGGAAGGAGTTGACCTTGGTCCTGAGCTGGAGTTCCCACCAGACCCACCTCACACGTTTACCCACCACATACTCTGAACTGGCTGTTGTCTGGGCGCTGCCAAGTTGCCTCTGTCCTCTCTGCCAAGAAGCAGAAAAAACAGCTAAACCAAAGCTAAGGACCTCTGAGACCTCCCTCCCCTAATCTCTGTGGAATTAAAAGAACAACTGGGAAAGTTTTTTCCCTAAATTTCAACTGGTCTTAAGGGAAAAAGGCAAAGACACCCCTAATTTAGAATCAATCTTTAAGCCATATCTCTAAGCATGCATTGGTACCCTGCTGTGTGCCAGAACGTGTTCTGTATGCTGGGAACACAAAAACCAGTCAGACTACACTTCTGTCCAAGGTCTGCAGTCAAAGTGGACGTTGAACTAGAAGAGAACGAGAAACTGGGGAAGCAGAGAGGAAGGGGGCTAGTCTAGTTATGAGGACTCACAAGAGGCTTTCAGGAGAATGTGGTAATCGAACTGAAGGTTGAGAAACACTGCCAAGATTACCTTCACTCAGCACAAGTTAAGGGACACTAAGTATGTATAGCAGACATACACTAGGTCATGTGCAAGATTTGTTTTTTGTCTCTCTCATGCTTTATTTTTTATTGAAATATAGTCAGTTTGCAATGTTGTGTTAACTTCTGGTATACAACACAGTGATTCAGTCATACATATATATTCCTTTTCATATTCTTTTTCATTATAGACTATCACAAGATATTGAATATAATTCCCCATGCAATACAGTAGGACCTCATTTTGTTAATCTATTTTATATATAGTAGTTAGTATCTATAAATCCCAAATTTCCAGTTTATCCCTCCACCCTGCCTTCCCCCCCTGGTAACCACAAGTTTGTCTTCTATGTCTGTGAGTCTACCTCTGTTCTGTAAGTAAGTTCACTTGTGTCATTTTTTTTAGATTTCACATATAAGTGATATCATATGGTATTTTTCTTTCTCTTTCTGATTTACTTCACTTAGTATGACAATCTCCAGGTCCACTCATGTTGCTGCAAATGACATTATTTTATTCTTTTTTATGGTTGAATATATATTGTATATATATACCACATCTTCTTTACCCAGTTATCTGAAAATGGACATTTAGGTTGCTT